TTTTCTTCCATATGTCCTGTAAGACTTTTTCTTATTAGAAGTTTCTGGTGCATGTGGACCATTAAACATAGACAGCATCCGCACTCACAACCCAGCAAGGTTCCTGCACCAACCTTTACGTTCTACCCTCCGAAAATCTACCCTTCCAAATTGTCACCTCTTAGATTTTAATGTGGATCTCCAACAATAATGATATTTGACCTAGATTTGACCTTCAAAGAGCCACATGCGGAAAATGGATTTCCATGCATAGAAACCTCCACTCACATATATTTTCATCTTTATCTTTTCGTTTTACTTGAAAGTTTCTTTGATACGTATATTTTTTCTAAGTGGACAATATCATATCAGTGTGGGTTCATTGTTCCTATCTCTTTGATTTGAAAGAAAAAATGAAGCATGGAAAGGGACATGTCTCTAATAACACTCTAGATCATAGTTCGTGTAAAATTAAGTTGGCATTAAAAAATTCATTATATCAGTAGTCCACAAATTTATAAACCAAAATGAGTAGCATATATATTAGTTTTGTAAAGCCCTTTGACTTTGTGAATACGAGATATTACTTTTAGTACGGATAATTTCTCTTTTATACTTTTCCCTTCAATTTGTAAGAGTTTTTGTGCTTTGATGGGCCGTGATTCAGATCATATGTTAGCAATGAGGATGATCAACCAGTCACATCTCCAAAAGAAGAGAGTGAAGTCCTTTATGTCATATTGTGGAGGAATTCCTTCTCCAGAATCGGCAAACAATCCATTAGCATATAAATTCAGGTACTTGTTAGAATCATTAGTCTTAACGACTTATGAACTTTGACTACTCTTGATTAAAAAAGGGCGGATCTTCAATAAAAAATGCTTGGAGAATGGATAGATAATATCACCTTAGCATGGAATGGTAATGGTACAGAGACTTGTATATTCTCTCTGGTAAATACTTTTTTCCAGAGTAAAATTTAAACGGTGTTGGTGACTTTTTTAAGAAACTCTAAGAAGTTTTTCCCTGAGAACTAAATCTAGTAGTTAAAATTTTCAGATATCTATTGAAATAATTTCTTATTGGTATTGTTGATTTTTCTGTACAAAAGAGGCCAAGAAAGCCCCATTTATAAAATGAACACAAACACGCATTCAGTGTTCAAAATTTGCAGTTTGCATTGGAAGTGTCCAAGATATTCCTGGAAAACTTCTCTGTTTTGGTTTCTTAGATTTATATCATTTTCATTCAGTTTCTCTTGAAGACATTGTCTTATTCTATAACCTTGTGAAGATGAACATTTGTCAATGCTAAATAGTTTATTTATTAAATGCATCATCTAATTTTATGGAAACTCAATAACATTTCTTTATGAAATATGTTAGTTCGAATCTTGCTGAAGCTATTCGAGCTGGAAGCAATCCGGCTACATATCGATATGAAGGAAAAACAGTAAAAGTTGAAGGTAAGCTGTCTACACTTGGAAAAAGTTGGAATAACAAGAATATGTTGCACTCTGCACTTTATTTATTATTCTCTTGCACACAAGAAGATGTGCTTTATAACTCTCTAGATTAGATAATTACCAGTCAACTCTTCGAATAACTATTATATTCTGCTTCGGTCGTATAATTTTAAGATGTTTAGACATTAACCCATGATTACCACATTATATTCTTGATTAGAAAATTTATTCAAGCAGTTCAAACTTGCAGGAAAGGATCTTTATGACTCTGCTGTGAGGCTACGCTTACCTGACCTTCCAGCATTTGCATTGGAGTGCATTCCAAATTGTAATTCCTTAATTTATGGAGACGCATATGGTATAGGGCATGAGGCATCGACCATATTTCGTGGAACCCTACGCTATGAAGGCATGTTCTCTTTGGCTTCTAACATGTTTTACCGAGGATTCCCACTCAAAACCTTGACTGACTTAATTCCCTCGAGGGAATCTGGTTAACTATATATAAGCCGAATATAATCATTACTCCTAAGAAATTGTGTCTTTTTAACTCATTTACTGTCAATACGTATAGGATTTAGCGAAGTGATGGGAACCCTGACAAGAATTGGACTCCTAGATACGGAAGTTCATTCCTTTCTTAGGAGTAGTAGGAGGCAACTATTTCGAGATTTTTTGCTTGAGCTCCTCAAAATTAAAGGAGAATCGAAAGGCTCTACCATTGGAGAGAAGGACATCAGTGACAGCATTATTTCTAGTGGACTCTGTAAAGAGCAAGAAACTGCTGTAAGAGTAGCCAAAACAATCGTGTATGCAGCTCTTCTAGTTCCTTTTCTTCTCTAAAGATGAATTATATATTTTGCATGACGGGCTAACAATGACAATGGATCAGATATTTGGGCCTTCACGAGCCAACAGAGATTCCTTCATCTTGCCAAAGTGCATTTGATGTTACCTGTCACAGAATGGAAGAAAGATTATCCTACTTAAAAAATGAGCAGGTACACTTGTTTTTTCCCTGTTAATATTCATTCATATTTTAGTATGTTTTACTATGTGAATTTTTTATTAGATGGCTACGTGTTATGTAAAAAATTCTTCAATAATCTAGTTTCATAATTTTGAGATGCAATAAGGTAACCACCCGATCCACTGCTAGCAGATATTATCCTCTTTGGACGATCTGGATCGTTACTAATGGTATCAGAGCTAACTACCGGACGATGTGCCAGCCTTCTCGCTGTTCCCCGAAGAGGGGTACAAGGCGGTGTGCCAGTAAAGACGCTGGGCCCCAAAAGGGGGTGGATTAGGGGGCAGTCCCACATCGATTGGAGGAAGGAAAGAGTGCCAACGAGGACGATGGGCCCCGAAGGGGGGTGGATTGTGATGTCCCACATTGGTTGGGGAGGAGAACAAACCACCATTTATAAGGGTGTGAAAACTTTCCGCGTTTTAAAGCCTTGAGGGGAAGCCCGAAAGGGAAAGTCCAAAGAGGACAATATCTACTAGCGGTGGATCTGGGTTGTTACATTAACCATTATTATTTTTCAATCTTATTTAAGGAATACTATAAGATGACATCATTGCAAATTAGACGGTAGTTTTAGAACACCTTTGAATGAAGTGACTTGATGAGCTCACAGCACGAGAGAAGTATTTATGCCAAATATGAGCGTAGTTTAACTGACGCTCAAACTTTCACCTCATAACTCGAATTTTAAAAGACGAATCCTTGAGTAGCCGGGAAAGACTCCTGTTTTTTTTTTTTTTTTAAATAACATAAATGGTCTCTTAACCATATATTATTGATATTTAATAACAGCATTTTTAGTTTGAAAAAGAGTAACCATTCATGTGCCATTCATATGCGCTTAAAATTGCATCTATAGAAAGCTGTACGCAAAGAACATCTTAACTTTTTGTCAAAATTTATATAATAAGTTCATTTGTGATGATGGTCAGGATATGGTTCTTCTACATCATGAAATACAAGTAGAATCGGCAGACGGTCAACATACAGAGTGTCGCAAGGCTACGTTACTAGAATTTGGGAGGACTTGGAATGGAAAGACCACTAGTGCAATGGCTCTCACTGTTGGTATTCCAACAGCTATTGGAGCTTTGGTAACCAACTTTACATATTCTTTTTACCATAATCTTTATTAAAGCTTCAACTTTAGTTGATGTTACAGTATGTCATTGCAGCTTTTACTGACAAACAAAATCAAGACGCGAGGTGTTTTAAGGCCTATTGAACCTGAAGTTCATAATCCAGGTAAACGCAAATATGTCATTTCCTCCTAATGTTTTGGTTTATGTTTATTGTATCATTTTGCATGAAAAATAAGCCTTTTGACGATGAAAAGTTAGGTTGGGCTGAGTCGTCATTTGACTTGAGCATAACTTAAATTAGAAATGTAGTTCTCAATTTTCAAATGTGTCAAATAGGTCCATAAACTTAAAAAAATGTTTAATAAATTTCTAAACTTTTAAACTTTTGAATTTGCGTGTTTGGCTCATTCAGCATTCTTTTTAAATTTAAATTTATATGAAGTAGCCTATAAACTTGCTTTCATAAGTCAAGCTGACTCGACCCAGGCCAAAAGGTCTCTAGCCCTATGCTTAGGTTGACAAGCTGAATTAATCATGTGAAAGTCGAGGGAATCGAGTTTCCCTGTTCAATTACTTTAAGAACTTACTGTTCATACAATGATCATAGTTACTAAGGTATTTACTTCTTTGATGGTGCAGCCTTAGATCTTTTACAAGCATATGGTTTCAAGCTAATAGAGACAGTTGAATTCTAGCTGGACAAATCGTCTGTTCAACTTGTTAAGTAATATATAAATGTATCGTTGTTTACTTATATTTAAAATTGTAGTTTACTTATATTTAAAATTGTAGTTTACTTCTATTTAAAATTGTATTGTTGTTTACTTATATTTAAAATTGTATTGTTGTTTACTTACGTTGTTATTTTGAATTTGAATTGCAATAAAATAGATACGATTATCATAATATTCTTTTACATTTCTAATTAATTGAAATGCACTAACTAAAAATATGTTACAACAATTACAACTCTATTTTTACATTTTTATTTATTTATTCAAGTTTTTACCCTTAAATAACAACCAAATAAAATGGTTGTTATTTTTTATTTGGTGATCTAATTCACATTTCAATTTCAATTTTGAGAGACACAAAATTCGAAATAAAAAATATCTATAATTATTTGATTAATAAGATAAAATTATTTAATTTTTGAAATGATATTTTTGTAACGGACCAAACTTAAAAGTAAAAGTGACTTATCCGATTTCAAACATGTAAGATAAAAACGTCATATTAATTTTGCATATTAATTTAACTCATCTTCATATCGATGCGATCAAAAGTTGAATAAATTTTACTATAAAAAAAATTAGTGTTACAAATATGGTATTTCCAAAGATGAGACATTATTGTATCATATCAACTGAAGCAAAAACAAATGAAAAATAACAAGTTATTTATGTATAAGTTCTCAATGTTCTTATAAATCAATAGATTGGCATTGCAAAATGCAAACACAATTATTCATAATCACATAGGATTGAAAGATTACGATTCCAAAGACTCAAACAAGCCCTTTGTGTAGTACAAAGACTGTATTATATTGTCCAGAATCGTGCAAATAAACAGCATTCCTATTAGGTTACCAGTGTTGGCGTTGGTCTACAAACTCCTTCCAAGTCAATCACAACACTGGTGACAAATATTATGTTCTAAAGCCTAAGAAGAAAGAACCAATGAAGTTAATTGCTTCTCCACATCTTCCCAATTATAAACCTTTGTGACTAAGGGGGGCAGATCCTCCGTCTCCGTCTTGCACCATGGATACGAGTTCTCATAGTCAAAAAGCAGAACTCGAATTCCCGCTTTGGCGCATTCTATCGCATATCTTGGATTATCATCGATTAGCACTGTTGCTCCAAGTGACCTGCATGGTGAGATCGTCCACAGCGCCACCAAAATTAAAAAAGCAGCTCATAAAACAGTAATGCAACTCAAATATAGCTCAACTCATTAAGACGTATATCCACCTATATATGTTGAACATAACAAATATTAATGTTGTAACTTGAATGGATGATTCGATACGAGTGAGGATGGATGAGACCTAAAGCTACGATTCACGGGAAAAATAAAAGTGTATAGATTTGTTATCATACTTGCATATCTCTTCCTTTGATCTAGACACTCCATCCAGAGCAAAGTGGTTTCCAAAGTGAATTTCCTGAAACAGTCCTGGAAAGTGCTTGTCAATCCACTCCAGCGTGTGTTCTTTGATTGCATTTTGTCGAGACCTGAAATTAGATGAAATGAGATAAGTTCACATCATCTATGGGGAGGGATTAGTACCACATCAAAACGATCCAATGTAGCTATACATACGTTACGACTGACAGATGACAGAATCTCGATAACTTGAGAAGCGTGCTCTGCGCGCCCGGTATAGGCCAGATTCCAACCTTGAAATATGGTGTCTTAAAGAACTCATGAACACGATGATTAGCTGGAAGAAAGCAGGGAAACAAGTTTCAAAACCAATTAACCAAGTAGAGACGCATTTCCATGGACAGAAATATCTCATAAAACAGCTTCAAGAGCGTAAAGATCATATTGTGTTTCATTATAGACTGCAAAGTTCTCCCAAAGAAGTCAAGAAAAGTTACAAAGGAAGTACCATCTCAAACCATTTTTCTTTCAAAATTCTCACTAAAAAAATAGAAATTTTCTTAACTAAATTTTGTCAAGAAAAACATCAAGAACAGAAATACTATTTTGTAACACCAGCACTAACACAAACTAAAATCATATGGTTTTCCAGTGAGAATGGTCCAGATTTTAAAAAAAAAAAAAAAAAAAAAAAAAAACTGAATACAATACTGGAAGGTCCAATGATTTAACTAACAAAAGGTCAAAGAAACCAACCCCTTGATGCTCATCCTGCCTACTACAAAAGCAAATCTACAATTTCAAACTCATAAAACGGGAAAAGACGATAGGGATTAAATTCAAACTTCTAACTTTCTCTGAACCATACAAACCAAATTTTTTATTTTTTATTTTAAAAAAAAAAAACTATTGGTCTGAGAAGCATATGCAACCATCAATCAGTCAAATGTATGACTCCACTCAGGAAAAACAATAATCATTATATGATCATATGGCCATCTTGACATAGATGACAAGTCGTTAAAAGTCAATCTCAAAATGTTGTACCTTCGTCACGTGAGCAGTTCCATATCTGAAACAGAAACGAAGGTCTAAATCAGAATGGTGCAGGTTAGATATTCCCCAGGGAAACTTCAGGACTATTACACTAAGGATCACAAGGGAACCCCAACAAATAAAAAGCACAAAAACAAAACTATACCCTGAAGAATTCATAGACATGATACTCCGAAACTGAATGATTTGAAGAATAACGATCAGCAACAAACTTGTTAAGAGCTGAGACAAAGTTCCCCAAAACTACAAGATGGCAGGACAACAGCAGATACAAATATCAGATCAGAGTACGGAGTAAACAATCATGTACAATAATTTATTAGCACAACCGAATTCTCAGCTCACATCAAGTACAGAGAATAAGTAGCAATATTAGCACATGCAATGGTCATGCAAAGTCATAAACAATGTAGTGTAGCTGAAATCTATGTCATCTCAGGCATGTCAATCATCAAATTAATTAATTAATTAATCTAAGCCAACAATTCCATGGATTTAGTCATTTAGATTAGATCAACATACAAGATCTCAAGTGGGCTTTTCATGTCTTTGTCACAATGCACCAAAACACTCGTAAACACAGATATCAGAGGTGGAAGAAGAAGAAGAAGAAGAAGAAGAAATGTTACAATGAAGAAGTAAGAGAAAAAAAATGAAAATCCAAGGAAGGAGATAAGAAATGGGAGAGGAAAATACGAACCCTCATCGACGTCAACAGCAACAACAAGCTTTCCCCTGGAAGAAAGATCATGGAACGTTAAAGGATTTCCCCATTGGGGCTCCCCCTGAACAGTAGTAGAATATCTGCGATCAATACCATCAACTAAATCGATCTCGACATTGTTAAGAACCTGTGGACGACGAACAGGTGTTGGGCCCTTAGCATTGGTTCCCAACGAACCATTGCTGCAGTTATCTTTGTGGGATTGAACGCAAGCTCTTAGACCAAACCGATTGCATCTATTTCTCCGAAAACTACGAAGAACAAGCTCCGCAGAAATAGGAAATCCGCAACAGTTTTCGAAAAGCAATGGTTGAGAAGGGCGATGCGATTGCATATGAAAATGAGACGAACAAAGATTTCGCGTCAAGGAATGTGCCGCCATTAATGGAAATCAAGCATAGTACAGCATTCGTTGGAACGAGCCTCGACGATTTAACAAAAGCTTCTTGAAAGACCACTCTCACATTCCTCCACCGCCACAACAAGAATAAACAATTAGCATAAAGCTAAAACAACAAATAAATACGGCGGAAACAAAAATAATAATTTAATTATACGAAGAAAAAACGACAGAAATCCCTAATGAAATAAAACAATGGAAAGAAAGAAACAGTTCGATGACTCAACCTGAAAATCACGCAGAAAACCTATCAAACAATTCAATCAAAAGGGAGAATCAGAATGATTGCTGAGAAAGGCAAAGCAGACCTGAATAATCGAGAATCAGCCGCGAGAAAGTGGTGATTGGAAAATCAAAAACTTGGAGCCCGTATTTGGTAATGATGTGAGCGCATTCCGAGATTCGCTTAATGGAGAGAACCTGCTCGTGTCATTTTTGAGCTGAAACGATCGATTCTTTCGTTGTAAGAACTCGAATCGCGAAGAGAAGAGAAGAGAAATGAAGGAATTGAAGAAGAAGAAGAAAAGGAATGGAGGTTGATGAATTTGGGAAGGAAGGCGAGGGTGCAGAAGTCCCCATTACATAAACAATGGCTGAATTTATAAAATTGTCCATTGGAGAAAGGAGGGATTTTAGGACAGATTCCTTCTCCTTCGTCTTGGGATCTCATTGTCATTGTCATCTATAACTTCAACAAAGATCAAAAATTAAAATTTAAAAAAAAAAAAAAAAACGAAAAATTAATATTATGGGTTTTTATTTATTACTTTTTCTTTTCCTTCCATTATTTCATTTATGTTTCAATTTTAGATAATTACGTTTCAATTTAACACATAAATATTAGATACCACAGATTCGATCTATATTGAATCAACCTAGAAATTCAATCTGTATTGGATCAACCTAGAAATTCGGTCGGCATTGAATCAACTTAGAAATTCGATCGGTATTGAATCAACTCAGACCAACTCATTATCTCGAAAATAGGTACCCGCCCTCTTTATTATTACAAAATATTTTATATTTGAGATTTATAAGATTTTAACTAATAAATAATATATACGATAGATAAATATAATTTTTATTAAAAAAAATAAAAAATAACCTAACAACTTAATTCAAAACCGGAAAATAGAGGTTTGATTGGACTATGTATACCAAAAAAAATATATATTAGGTAATTTTTTTAAAAACATTAAATATATATATAGTTTTAAAAAAAAAATTAATCTAGTATAGAATTCAACAACACGTGCAGCTACGTGATGACGAGACAATTTATTCTTTTAAGAATGGATGAACAAGGATGAAGGTGAAAATGAAAAGAGAGACAAGAAAGGAAGGGAAAGACAATACGGGGAGAACAAAAATCATTTAAGCAAACTATAATGTAAAGTTCAATTTTGTCACGTTAATTAAAATTTACCACGTAGGCATTGTCTCGTCATCGTGTGGCGTGTTCAATGAACTTTCTACTAAAGTTATTGACAAATATAGCACAACAACTTTGGAATATTTAAGCACAACTCAACGAGTAACACATATCACCAAAAGGTAAAAGATTTGAATCACGCCCCACCCACAAGTTGTTGAACTCAACTTGGTCAACCTTCGATTCAAAGACTCCATCGAGTGTTTGACCGACCAATCCATCGACGATATAACCAAACCTAATCTATATTAGTTTCTCAATTAGTTTCAAAATTCTCCATGCGTGTTCCTTAAAAATTAAAAGATAAAGGCGGTGGTGCAGAAATGATAGAAGTATTTACTAGAATAATAGGTGATGTGGGCTGTTGCTTCTTCACTCTCCTCCCATCTTCTCTCGTATCTTATATTGCAAACAAGCTGGAGCACAATCCAATGGCGTTTCTCCTGTCACCGTGGAAACAATGAACCATTATGCAAAATATCTCACCACTTTTCTAACATGAACTCACTTTCTCCAGAAAAATATAGATTTTTAAGTCAAAATTAGAAAGAGGTCCAATACGAGTTCCCTTTTCGACCAAAGGATTGTGGTTTGAAGGACGAAAATAAAGGATCGGATCATCAATGTCGCTGTAATTTAGAAAGCTACCCATACTTCGTGGCTTTCTACTCGTTGTAGTAAGTGCAATAACAGCCCAAGCCCACCGCTAGTAGATATTATTCTCTTTTGAACTTTCCCTTTCGAGTTTCGCCTCAAGGGTTTTTAAAATGCGTCTATTAGGGAGAGATTTTCACACCCTTATAAAAAAATGTTTCGTTCTCCTCCTCAACTGATATGAGATCTCACAATCCACCCCCCTTTGGGACCCAGCATCCTCGCTGATACTCGTTCCCTTCTCTAATCGATGTGGGACCCCCAAATTCACCCCCTTCGAGGCCAAGCGTCCTTGCTGGCATACCGCCTCGTGTCCATCCTCTTTCAAGGCTCAACCTCCTCACTAGCACATTGTCTGGTGTCTGGCTCTGATACTATTTCTAAGAGTCCAAGCCACCATTAATAGATATTGTCTTCTTTGGGACTTCTCTTTCGGGCTTCTCTTCAAGGATTTTAAAACGCATCTGCTAGGGAGAAGTTTCCATACCCTTGTAAAGAATGCTTCCTTCTCCTCCCCAACCGATGTGGATCTCAAACAATCACAGAGATATTTGCTACAGTTATTCTTTGCTTTAATCGCCAAGCTTAAAAGAGAAGTGGGATAGAACTAATAAGCAAGGGTCGTTTGAAATTTGTTCTCAGAAGAGTTTCTATTTTCAAGACAGTTTGTTAAACACTCCAATTCCCAAAGTCCCGACCAAAAGCATTCGCATAAAGAAACAGTGACAAGAAGTTACCTTGAGCATTTTTGTAGTCCAGGCTAGCACCACTTTCAATGAGGGCAAAAACAATATCAGTCTGATTAAAGACGGCCGCCTACATCCAAATCAATACTAGTCTTAATATCATAACTCTAAATCGATATCATGCCATATTCTAATGGGGTGGGAGGAAGAGAGAGATTCTACCACATGCAGCAAAGACAATCCTTGCTTGTCATGGTAATTTGCATCTACACCCTGCCAACATGAGAACAGTAAATAATTCCATTACATATTTTGATTTTCATAAAGGCATTTAGTACCTCACTCAAAAGTTTCTTGACAGCATGAGTGTCACCGTTCTTGATTGCTTCCCTCAACCCCTGCAAGAACATGAAATTCATGAGATGAAGCAGAATTTAAAAGCCTTTGATAGACACCAAAAAAAATTATCATACACAATATATACCTCGCCACTTGCTTCATAATTGATCCTTGATTCATCTGCAGGATTCCTATTCAATACAGGATTCCTATTCAATAATATAAATTACAACTGCATATTAAGATCGGACTTATATACCAAATCAATAATACCAACAATGATAAAGGAGGGTAATTTGATACCTAATACCTACGCAAGAATGTAAGCAATGAGAAAATGTGTCACTTGACCCAAGTCATCATTATAAGAAATAATGGATACGATAGCATACGAAAAACGCTATTGTAGACTTTTTATAGCATTTTTTTAAAGCTATAATAGATGATTGTTTATAGCGTTTTTTTAAAGCCATAATAGATGCTATAATATAATATAAAACTATAGCTTATATAAGTTCTCATAAAAATATTTCATAGTGTTTTATTAAAGCTATAATAGGTAGAATATATCTAAAATATTATTCTATCTTTTATCTTTTAACTTATTGTAGCATTTTTTTAACGCTATAATACAGTATTCATAGCTTTAATTTTATACTAACGTTATTTGATCATTTTATTAATTATATTTGGAGTGTGATAAACTTACTATTTGAAGGAGTGTGATAAACTTACTTTTCCCATATACTGGGCCAGAAAGGGAAGACAGAATCTAACCTATTGGAATAAAACAACTCCAGATAACATACCGAAGCTTGCTGTTGGAGGTAGATCCTCTATTCCTTAGATTGGAATCAGTCTTCTTTGCTTTTGAATTGTTCTGAGTAGAGGTGGAAGCTGTTTTCTTCTGCCAAAAGCACAATCAAGTTCCATAAGGGACACGGCTGATGCACAAGGAGCATAAGAAATTACTAAACATTAAAACCTGCAAAGGAACAGATTCTGTTTTCATAGACTGGACTGGAGCGACACAAATGCACAATGGCATTCCACAATTGCAATCTGAAATGCTCAACGCAGGTTGATGCTCCACAGCTGACTTAGGCTCAGAATTTACATTCCCATCAAGGTTTAATTGAGAAACTGTATCTGCAACTTGATCGACTACAGCTAACGACGGTGGTCGATCAACTTCTCTAGATCTGTAATAGGGCAAACTCGATAAATAAGACGCTAGTTTTTCAAAAATATGACAGGTGCTAAACAGTAAACAATAAGTTCAATCTCAGCATAAAATTTGGAAACTCTAAGGATGCGTCTAAGACGAGAGCAGGAATTTAGGAGCAAACGAGAGAAAGCAAGGACTTTCCAAGTCTGTATATAATTTTTTTTCAATGCCTAATTCCAAGAGGAAGGAGCTGATGGCTGATCTAAGAGCTTTTATGCTTCATCCAACAGGCAAAAAGCCTTCATATCACTCACTCAATAACATCCAACTACCTCATTATTGGTGGTTTTGAAATTCTTTGAGCCTTTAAAGAGTGTTCAAAGAATGTTTTAGAATGTTTATTTCGATCGCACTGATTCGTAGAGAAAAATGATTAGGAGCTGGAAGTTTCATTATCGATGAAAGTGGGTATGAGAATTTTAATGGTGTCTTCACAAGAAAGCTAAAGAAACAAGAAATAGAATATAAAAGAGTTACAGACTTCAAGAACAACATGCGTTTAGGCCCCGGCTTCGAGAGACAAGGACCACAAGTTCTAACTTTTCTTGAATATATACAGGTTCCAAAAATTCAAAAGTTTTGGATTCTCTCTGTAACAATTCAAGTTCACCGCTAACAAATGTTGTCTGCTTTGACCTGTTACGTATTGTCGTCAGCCTCACGGTTTAAAAACGTGTCTGTTGGGGAGAGGTTTCCCACACCTTATAAGGAATGTTTTGTTCTCCTCTCCAACCGATGTGGGATCTCACAATTCACCCACTTGGAGGCCCAGGGTCCTTACTGGCACACCACCCGGTGTCTGGCTCTGATACCATTTGTAACAGCCCAACCTCACCGCTAGAAGATATTGTCTGCTTTGGCCCATTATGCATTGCCGTCAGCCTCACCGTTTTAAAACGTCTGTTAGGAAGAGATTTCTACATCCTTATAAGAAATGTTTCGTTCCCCTCTCCAACCGCTATGAGATCTCACATTCTCGTACAACCTAAATCCTTGATACAAGAACATCTGATCCCAGTTTGGATTTTTAAGTTTCTAGTCGTTTAAATGCTAGAACATGAAACTTCCAACAAGAAAGTTCGAGTTCAAGAAGTTGCAAGAAAATAGTCAAGATTACATTGAAGAAAACATCTCACGCCAACTTTCTATTTCAGTTTCAACTCACGCACTTTAATTCTGAGCTTCAGAACGAAATGAGTTATCAATTGAGAAGTAAAACTTCAGCTCGATAAAATCCTTTCTAGTAGGACCAAAGGTCGTCTCAAAATACTTCCCTTGAAGTTCAATTCCAATACCAGCTTTGGAATAATTTTTGAAGTAAAATAAACTACGGCAGGGTGTATGATTAAATTTTAACATGACTTACTGAGAGGAGTTATTGAAACAGTCAGCACAAACTCTAACAGAGGAATGAATATCGAACTTCGGCAAGGCCTGAATTTCGCACAAACAAGTACATACATACACCAGTCAGAACGCAAAAAATTCTCCATTACGGCATCAACGAGGAAGAGGAATCAATAATACCATTTGAAAAGAAGAATGCTCGTGGCACAACGTCCTTCCACAGCATCGGCAATGATGCTGTAAACAAAGATAAAAACACAGAAAATCATCTAATCTCGCGATCGAAAGCTCGAAAGCACGAAACAGAATCGAAATTGATCATCGTTGCATTAGCTCAATCTAAACTAATGCAACAAAGTCGATCATAGAGCAAACAGAATTTGGTACCCGTCGTCGGAAGGTGTTGAAACTGCATTTGCAGACTTCACAGCGCGCTGCTTCCTGGAAAGGAGGAGGCTCCACCAACATTTTTGTGATCTCCGCCGCTCGATCCTCTCGATTCCCCAACTCTTCTATCGATGCTTCCGATTATCTTGACTGCAAGAAACCACCGTCTTATCCGCCGGAGTACGGCGATCCTCCTACCGCTGAACTCAGTCAAATGCTCCGTTTTGCAGAGCTCAGAAGGGAAACTGGTAGCGGATCTCCTCAAGAACTGGCGCTGCAACTCTTTATAATAAATAAGTTTTATATAAATTAAATGTATTATCCAAATAAATAATCAAATCATCAAAGATCTTTATTGCCAAGGTTAAAATGAAATTTTCTTCCTCTTTAAATCTTATTTGTCCAATATTTATTTTATTTTTAAATATTTAATTCCTATTTATTAATTTTATCTTATTTGTCTCAATATTTATTTTAATTTTAGTCCTTATTATTGATTTTCTGTAAATAAAAAAAATCAATGAATTAATTGAGTTGAGTAAGAAAAATTAACCCATTAAAGAGGATTTGCATTTACCTTTATTTCATAGAAAATTAAAATTTTTGGTAAATTATGGAAAAATAATAATTTTAACCTTTGCTGAACCTGCTGAACCGTAAACTCCTATCCCTAATTGAAGAAAGATTTGCTCATTCACCTTCTCTTAAACCTGAAGGCACGGAAATGGTGGAATAAGACAAGACGATGGAGGTTGATTGAAGATGATGGTACACGACGTTCAGAACCAACCTTAAAGTGAATGAATTTGAAAAAACGAAAGAAGTCGTAGAATCATCTCGAGGCTTTCAAAGACATCCGAGCAATTGGAAGGGACCCCTAAACTCGTGAGAAGGAGAAGGGTTAAGGTACAAAGACAGCCTCAAATCCACTCGTAAAGACAAAGACAAAGACAAAGATGTCACCAAATCATTTCGAGGCTTTCAAAGATATCCAAGCAATTGGAAGGGACCCCTAAACTCACGAGAAGGAGAAGGGTTAAGGTACAAAGGCGGCCTCAAATCCTCTCGTAAAGACAAAGACAGACAAAGAAGTCGCAAAATCATCTTGAGGCTTTCAAAGACATCCAAGCAATTGAAAGGGACCCCTGAACTCGCGAGAAGGAGAAGGGTTAAGGTACAAAGGCGGCCTCAAATCCTCTATCGTAAAGACAAAGACAAAGACAGAGACAAAGAAGTCGCAAAATCATCTCGAGGCTTTCGAAGACATCCAAGTAATTGGAAGGGACCCCTAAACTCGCGAGAAGGAGAACGGTTAAGGTACAAAGGCGGCCTCAAATCTGCTCGTAAAACAAACACAAATCCTTTTAACCTCTGAACATTCAACAGCCTACTTTACTTTCCCTTTCCTTGTTCAGATGATTACACAGATGGACCTGATGAACAAAGAGGGCACCACAAGCACTGCACACCATACAAAGTTGGAAGGCACATCAAAATCAATTTCACAGACCTGAAAACACCAATCAACATAACATAGATTATACAAAAACAAACAAATTCGTCAATTACAGTTTACGACTATCACTAGACATGCTCAAGGAAGCGCCCCCTACCAGTTTTTCATCGTCGTACGTTCAATGTGAGCTACGTAAAATTCCATGCATGTAACCTCCAGTCATTATAAACGACACGAGAGATACGACACCAGCTGGAAATATCTTCCCAGAATCCTTGAAACGAGATCCCATCACTACCAAAAGTGACGCTGATAGGCCTGTAGATTAAGAAATAGATTTTGAAATAATAGTATGAATAAAAACAGAACTGGAACATTGGTTTTCCTCCCTAGATTAGTCTTATTTCCATGTTTTTGCACACCTTTTGAACAGATCAGATGGCATGTTCTTTCTGGGACTTCTTAAAACAATGAGTTTATGTATAATCATTGTAAACTGTTGATATGCAAGAGGAAATATTGAAATGAAACTAAGCACGATTTTGCATAACCTACACATTATACAAAGTTTTCATCCACGATCCAGGATCGAACAGTTCAAAATTCATAGTGATTTTGAATACGACAAAAGTGATTTAAGCCACCCAAACATTAACTATGAGAAATTTGAAAGCCTCCCTTGGACCAAGCTCGTTAGCCATCATATTCCCGAGTTTAAAACCAGTAACTATCGAGTCCCACAATTAACACTCGTGGAAACTCCAGCTACCCATATAGCAAAGAAACCAACTACTCTAGATGCCTACACTGCTCATAACTTAGGTATCATCTTGTCCTCAAGATGATGAACATGGGGTTGTGAATCTTAATGAAAGAAATATATAACTTCAGTCACTACCCTTACTTATCAAGGCTGGTTTTGGTCTCGGGTGCGGAAGGTCATCTCAGCACGATGTAAGGTGATTCTAGCTTCCTTGTGTTGCCACTACAAGCAAGCTACACGTAAGGTTCCGTTCCCAATGTGAGAGCTAAACAACTGATTTTCCTCAACAAAAAAACCCCAACAGCACAACTTTGACTATAAAAACTATAGATAAGAAAGGTGAACTGTGAACACAACTAACCAAATTCTACACTCAAAATCTCAGAATTTAGAAATAATTTGAACCATATATCCATAATGTCGGTCCACATTCAAGACTCAACAAAAGAAGTTGGTGAGTAGTACGTGGCTTTTACTAGGAACAAATGAAAAGAATTAGTCCCAACACAACTGTGAGATCCTACATCCATTGGAGAGAGGAACGAGTGCCAACGAGGACGCTGGCCCCGAAAGGGGGTGGATTGTGAGATCTCACATCGGTTGGGGAGGAGAACGAAGGCATTCTTTATAAAGGTGTGGAAACATCTCCCTAGCAAAAGGGAAAGCCTAAATAGGACAATATTTGCTAGCGGTGGGCTTGGGCTGTTACAGTTCCTCTCCCAAATTTAAGATATAGAAGGGGAGGAGGCAGGGCGACTCGTTATTTCCAAGCTAGACATAGTGTATACATCCCAGAGCAAAGTGCATTTGCTCATTGTTCTTAACCAGGATTCAAAAACTCAAAGTTCCCAATAGTACAATGTATATCTAACAAGTAACATCTAGAATTAATAACAGTTCAGCTACGTGATATGGGAAATCTAAGATTTTCATAATTAAGTCAAAGATACGGCCGATTCCTTACCAAGACCCAAGGCCGATGCAAGAACAGGGTTACTGGGAAGCAGTTTACAAACAGCAAGCAACAGTGTGGCTGAGACTCCCCCGGCCAATAGTGACTTTTGGCTGCCACCTTTCAAATATCCCATTAAGCCACCAACTGCCAAGTAAAAACACAAAGGACTGAATTAAAATTGCAATTGCAACCAAGAACATAATCATTATTTCATTTCATACAGACTAGGAATTGAAATCTAAGCAAATTTATAATGAATAAATAAGGACCTCCTACTAGTGCAGCATATCCAAGAGTTAATTTCTGTGACATTGACAAAGCTTTCTTCCCGCTGTTGGTGTTAGATTCCTCTTCCTCCCCGCTATTACCTTCATTATCGCCTCTACCACCTTTACCTCCACCGCTACCACCTCCTCCATCGCCGTGAATCCCTTTATCGGAAGAGTCACCGCCAGTGGTGTCTGGATAAATGTCGATGTCTTCATTTTTGGAATCGGTGGCACGGATAGCAGATCTTACTATCTTGCAATCGAAGGAAATCCCTGCAGAAAACAGGGGATATGAAATCTGAATTGGAATGAATCCGATGGCAAAATGATGAACACGGCCCAATTCTACAATGAGATTCAGATGACGGTGCCGTAAAAACACGATTGCTTACCTCTACCAATGGTAGAAGATTGAAATTGTATGCGTCGAACTGAGAAAGTGTTGCTCCTGAGAGCTCCACTGATGCGCGGCGAGAAAAGTAACGACGCCTGAGACACTCCGGCCAAAACTGCCGCCATTTTCCTTCTTCCTCAAGAAAATACCGCAAATCTCCCAGGAGGGGTTTTGATTTACAAGCAGGTATATTATAAAGGTCAAGATATTATCCAAAATTATTTCTTAATTTCCTTCCAAATTGCCTAAAAGCTTAGCTCAACTATATTTCAAACACTATTTTGGTTCCAATTTTTGTTTTTGATTCATCTTCCAATTTATTTTCCTCAAAATGTTCATTTAGATTCTTAAATTTAAAATTAGTGTCCTTTTTATTTGAAAAAATGACAATAATATGTCTTATACGTCTCCATGCCCGCATTGAAATAGTGTTTTACCTCTAGATGTCCAGTTAACTGCTGCGCCTCAATGCATTTCAGGAAGAACCAGCTATCTCTGGGTTCGATTGCCATTTCACCCCGTTGATTTTTCAACATTAGTCGGTTTGGACCTCCACTTAGTTCCACCCAAGTTGATTTTTCAACATTAGTCGGTTTGGACCTCCACTTAGTTCCACTCAAGTTGATTTTTCAACATTAGTTGATTCGGACCTCCACTTAGTTCCACCCAAGCTTCATCCTGGTCATGGATAGATCACCCAGATTCGGGTTCATAAGCCGTGACAATTACTCCATAAAGAATGAGCATAGGCCGTTGCTTGGTTAAAGGAACCCATTGGAGCAGTATTTTTAATTTAATAGGAAATCTATTATTAATTTTTCTTTTAAGGCATATATTTATTTTCATAATTATTTTTAAAAAATTATCTAAAAAATTATTAATTCTCTAACCACTCTTAAAAATAAATTTTTAAATCGTAATTTTTCAAATGCCTGCCGTGGAACTTCCACTCTCATACGGTTGTTTTTTCGGTTTGACACTTCCCCTGCAAGGTAGGCCCCTGCTCGAGGCAGTAACCATTTATATTCATGGCTGACTGCGTACATCAATGTCTACCTACTAATTCACGTGCGACCAACTCGAAAGTGAGTATCTAAGACCCCAATTCCTTCTTCTCGAGTTGTCGCTTCCTCACGAACTGAATCGGGGAATTTCTTAATTCAATAAAAATGAATAGTAATTGGAAGTGAAATGAACAAAACACACCTGAACTCACCATTATTATAAAGTGACAATTACAAGCATCGCTTTCTTTCTTTCTTTCTTTCTTTCCCCTCTCTTGTGTTATTCATGGAAGAAGAATAATTAAGCTTCTCAAGCATTTTCCATAGCCTCTGCTGATCAAGCAGCATGGATTATTCAGACTTAGAACTAGAAAATCAAGACGACGACGACGACAACGACAACACAATATCAAACCACACCCACCACAATTTCAACCCTACTCGAACATCATCTACACAAACATTAACCGAAATTATTCACCACAAACCCCCCGGGCCTATAGTGTTCATCTATGAGGCGGATCCACCGTCCTAACATTCACGCCCGTCATTCCTTCAATCCTATCTTTGGTGATCTCCACGAAATGTCCAACTATTTCATAGAACTGCTTTAGCCCCGACAATGGGAGAATGATCGAAGAACGATCTGCCCCTGCAACCTGCAACCGATACGGATATGACGAGTTTCATATCAAGACACTGAAGAAATGCACCATGGGGTTCAAGACAGACAAAACCAGATCAAATAAGGATCTTAAGCTCAGTTTTTTGTATAATTACCTCAGATATCCTCAAAAAATGACCCCGGTTGTTACTTCCAAGATCGAAAAAGAATCGCTTCTGATCAGCTCGGATAACTTTTGATACCCCCAGATTGCCCATTTCATCTTGAGCTGATAAGTCTACTTGTCTGTCTACATTCAAGTCAGAGGTTGGACCAGGTTGACTACTATGACCTGATATGAAGCCAGCACCTACATCATCCGAAAGTCCGACTAGACGTTCTGAATGTTCGGAATTTTCCTAGTTTGGGCAAAAGAAAACAGTATGAAATTGTGTTAGAAGAGAAACAATGGAAGTAATCCCGTGAAAAGGCATAATGAGAAGCTCGCCACGACCACGAGCAGCAGAAAACCTGATTGGGCAGTATGAAAAGCCTAGACGCTTCATTGATCTCTGCCAAAATGTTTCTGAACGCAGTCCATCCCTCGTCCCGATTGCTTCCAGCAGGAACGATAATGGTGCTGCGGTTTCTACTGACAGAAGCTTCAGATACCTGCCCAGTTAACACAACGAAAACCAGCTCTATTTACAACCACACATTCCAGATCTTAAAAATCTTTTTTTCTTTTCTTTGAGGCGCCAAAAAAAAAAAAGGAGAAGAATTCCAACAAAACATCAATGTTTATCAAAGAAAAAGAATTAATAAAGTAGATGCGTGCACCAATTCCCCAAAATCCTAATCTCAAGCCACACAATCCAGAAGAAGGCAACAGTGAACTCAGTAGTCTATAGCTGAAGAGGTCAAACTATCAACCCTCTAATCCCAAAATTTGAATCATTCAGCATTAATTCGAATTTGTAACGGAACCGAAAATGATCAAAATAAGAATAAATGAGAGCTGAAATCAGCCAAAGTTCAGATCCAGACTGATATTATAAGATATAGAAAGTTCGTTTACACGCGTAAAACTACACGACATACTCACGTCTATGTTTAAAAAACTTCAAACAAAAGTACACCCTAAAGTAGAAACGTGGGAGTATTGGAGATCTGTAGCGCACGTGGAAGCTTATTGTAGATTCAACAAGCAATGTTACAAGGGCCAGAGCATGAGAGACTGGGAATAAGAGAACTGGAAATTCGACTTCCGTGAACTGACACGTGAAGATGACACTCCAAAGGGATCAAAAGAGGGGTTGCTGAACTGTCTGGTATATGAAGGGGCTATGGAGCCTGAGGTGGTTGTAATCTGCTGCCGCACAATGGCAGCCTGTAGGGAGATTATGGTCCAACTCCTTGGTAATGGAGAAGGTGGTAATGGATGGCCAAAGACGGAGATAGAAAAGATAGAACTTTTAAAAGGCTGGTTACTGCAGACGTGAAGGGTATGAGCTATTCTACATCAGCACTCTCTTCTCTCCTTATAGATTCCTGGAGAATATCTATCACGAGCACACCGAGAACAGCTAGAACATGCATTTTTCTTGACCAGAAACATGTTTTTGTTTTGAGACGATGGAAAACACTTCTTGGTGATAGAAAACACTCAGAGAATATTTGCAGAAAAGACACAGACCTACACAAAAATTTTCGACAATGTTGTTTTTACCAAACTATATCCTACAGTTATCCTCACGGTAAATTGGGAAGGTCTTTTGTAAACACCATGGATAATACATCCCTTTTGTAAATTTCAATCATCAATGAAATTGTCGAAAAATACTTCCAACACTAAATACAAGCCTTGGCCTAACTTAAGCAACACATCCAGTTTCAAGGTTTGATCTCAGAATTGGAAAATGTTTTTGATAACTAAAGCCAACAAGTTCAGCCATGTCTTTTGTTTCAGTGTCTAGCCACTTCACTCCAGACTACCCTAATGGCTGATGTGCATCATTCTGTCTGAAACTAAGTAAACCAAGGTGTAGGCACGATTTACGAGCCACGGTTCAAAACGAAATTAAATCAAATTGCACACATGACTGTATGAATAATTTATGATGTAATTCATGGCACAGAGTTGGCTTTAGTGAAAGCATATGATGCATAATACAAAAAATTATAAAAATGAGAAAAATTAAACATTGCCATGATCGAAATCTAGTAAAACTACGAAAATCATTATATACTATAATATCCCATGTCTTTCACATGTTCATGCTAATGATTTGAATAGTAATGTGCCATATTAATGCTTTTGGTTTCCTAGACTTTTATAAACTTGAATATTTTGCAAGTAGCCATTGGTTTGTCATTACTATGGACAATGAAACAGGTGAATGAAAAATACTTTAAAAAGAAAGAAAGAACAAAAAAAAGGTCAAATCAAACAGTTCGGAATCTCCATTAATAAGAGCATAATTTTAGGCAACTGCTCATATTTGGAAAAACGCATTTGGAAGTATTGTCAAATGGAAGGCTATAAAGGGTCATCAAGAACATAAAGACGGAATTTGTTTCTTTTATCTTTTCCTAAAAAGGACACAGATCAAGGAAATGACTGCATTTACAAACCCATATTTCAATTGATTTCATTCTTCCATTTTGATAAGAGTTCATATTGTTCTTGAGCATCAGAAGCTATCAATAAAGAATCTGTAAACTGAAACGAACTGGGTTGAAGTAGAACTTCAATCAAAGAAAAATTTGAAAAGTACAGAATCATTCGAAGAATGTGGATCTGTCAGCTTTTTCTGAAGAACTGTTGCAAATTTTAAGCGAAATTCTAGATCAACAAGGCCTAATTTGACAGATTCAAACAGAAAAGCTAGAGAGAGTACTTTGAAGAACAAAACAAAAGTGGGAAATTAAAGAAAGTTGGAATCTCGAGAAGAAAAACAACAGATATGGTAGCAGGAAACGGAATTTACCTTCAAGAATCGACCCCTACGATTTTCACCAATGTCAAAGTAGAACACCTGAAAGGCAGGATGAGTACAATTAGCAAAAAGTTGAACAGGAGATCACAGAGATGAACTAAAAAGTAGAAGTGGAGGAAGACGATGAACAGAGAAAAGAGATAGAGGAACAAAGGTGCCTTGGTGTCGAGCTGCAATTCCTTGCTAAAAACCTCCGGATCATCAGAATTGATATAGTAATTGAAGAGATCTAAGAACCATGGAATCCCAGAGAAGGGAACAATGATCGTTGACCTTGTAGCCGACGTCTTCTCTGAAATCTTCAGATATCGGCCTCTGGGATTCTCCTTCAGATCGAAGTAGAACAATTTGTGCTCCACCTGCAATGTTTTGCACATCAACTCCACGTCGTTACCTCCTCCGCCGCCGCCACCCGTCACTCCACCCACCGCCACGCTGCCCGCCGTCGTTCCCCCAATACTCACTCCACCTCCGCCGGAACTCCCCTCCATCTCCCACTCCCAGCTCTGACTCAGATTCTACTAATAATTCCTTTCAGCGTCTGCAACTGTGTAAAATACAACAAATATAGATACAGAGACTCATCTAAAAAATGGAAATATCTGCGGGTAATTATCGAAATTTACACCATAATTTCGATTCAAATTACCGGAATCTCTTATCTCTCCTCCTAGGTCAATTGGTTTTACAAAAAACAATAACAAACAAACAAAAACCCACAGAAATTGAAGCGAACGAACCCCGATTTGAACAGAAATCGACGCAAAAATAACCCGCCAAATGACTTCAAAACCAACACCATACCAGAAAAGAAGCGGAAACCTAGAAATGGCAGATCTAAGAAGAAAGGTTCGTGAGAGATAGAGAGAACAAATGAATGATTTGGGCAAAAGGGTTCTGCAAAATTAGGGTTAAGGAAAAGGATCACATCGACGATCTGTGATGGGATTTTTTTGCTTCGAACTGTTGGAAATCAAACGACAATGAAAGAAGATGATGAAGAAACAATTTTCGAAGAAGATTTTCACAGAGTCGTTTACCTATGTTGCCACTGTATCGTAATGTTGACAATCTTCGTAGTCAACTTCGGTCAAAGGCTGGGCTTTCTGATTGCAGTCGCCATTGGCAGCATCCCATGAACGGGTGATTCTCAATCTCGACCCGCCTGAATCAGGAAGAAGAACCCAAAAAACAAAAAAAAATTATTTTTATTTTTATTTTTAGATTTTTATTTTTATTTTTATCCCATGTTATAATATTAAAATTTGTATTTATTTTACATTTTTAAAATAAATAATGTTAAAAAAATATAAATTATCCATTAAAAATTTGTAATTAATATATAGTAATGTCCACTCAATAATATTGAAAATTTTGTATTAAATTTTTTTAGGGTTGTATTAAATTTAGCTTTGTACTTACAATGTGTTATAAATTATTTTTGTATATTCATTAAGTTAAAATCTATTGTAAATATAGGTACGAGTTGAAATTCACCTAACGGTGATTCGGTCAATATGATTGGTGAGCTTTTTAGCTGCTCGGATAAAAAAATAATATAAAGTAAACAAGCAATATAAGTCACACGACCGCTAATATATATTTATACATGTGAGCAAATTTTTCTATTAAGTCAATCATTTTAAGCAATATTTTTTTCCTGAGTGGATTAAGGTAATGTCCCATTGGCTACAAAGTCAACTCATTGGTTAGATATCAACATCGTTCCAATAATATTTACTTTAATATATTATATATTCGTTCCTAGATTTGTTTTATAACCATATTATAATAAATTTAACGACAATTTTAAATTATTGTTGTGAATAAAGAATAAAAATGCTAACGGTCGTAAGGCAAAAATATAGATATTGCTAGTTGCATTTAGGGGTGTGCACAAGGTTGAGTTGAGTTGGAAAAATCTTTTAAGCTCATTGGCACACCGTCGTACGGTGTCTGACTCCGATATCATTTGTAACAGGCCAACCCCACTAGTACTAGATATTATCCGCTTTGGTCCATTACGTATTGCCGTCAGCCTCATAATTTTAAAACGCGTCTACTAGGGAGAAGTTTCCACATTTTTATAAGAAATGTTTTGTTTCTCTCTCTAACCGATATGAGATCTCAAACTTATACAAGATAAATGCACAGTCCAAAATGGTCAGGTCATCATAGGAGGAATTGAGTAAGTTTTCGTACTGTTCATTCTTAAAATATATTTGAAAGTTACGTTCTTAGTCGACAAGCGTTATCACTTTGTATTAGTTTAGTTCGTAAATTTTTATACGTTTCGATTAGACTCGAGTGTTACAAAACGGGTTTATCGAGTCATAAATCATAGATTACCAATTACTCTAATCATATTCGCAAATGGCTTTAAATTGAGCTATGGTATCATTTCTACAAATAGGAACCTGAAACGAAAACTCTCTCCTCCCCACGCATGGACTCGTGATAATACGATAAATAAACAAAAACCATTTATACGATCAATATTTTGTTAAGAAAATGTGAAATTTGGTTTGAAAATTCAAAAAAATATTTCACTAATACATATTTAATGTAACTTTATCTAATTATTTCTATTTATTTGAAAATTTTATTTTAATTATTTAAATATTATTTTAGGTGAATATAATCTTAATTACCTTAATTAAAAAAAATCTGAATTTTCAATGGTCACTTAATAAAACAATTATTTTATTTATCGCCTCTGTTTTTTTTTTTTTTTTTTTTTGTTAA